TTGTCTTGTAGTTGCAGCATTGTATCTGCTGAGTGTGCAAACAAAGAGGTTTCTTTGCAAAAATCTAAAAAGCGAAATTATTTAATTGATACAAGGGTATCAAAGCTATTATTTATTGCTTATAATTTGAAAATACAGAATAGACTGGTTAAATGTTTTTCTAAAAAGAAAAAACATTTATGTTTAGAAAAGAAAAAGATTGACGGTAAAAGTAATATAAGCCATATCTTCAATGATACAGCACTCAATGATAATGATGATAAATATGACAATGAATATTTAAGTGATGACAGTGTTGATTTTTACATACCATTAAAAATGGCTAAGCATTAACATTTTAAGACCTATTATTTTATTATATTATGATAGAATATCTGTAGCATAATTAAAAAAAAATTTAATAAATTGCTCGTTTAATAAATTGCACGAAAAATATTTTTCATTATTTAAAATAAAAAAAATAGAAATCATCCCAAAACATTGCTTGTGTTTTTCCATCCTTATATATTTTTGTAGGAAATATAATAAAATGATTTAATTATAAATAGGATTACAATTAAAATCATTTGCAATTTTGTTTATTATCGAAAAGTAAAGTAGAAAAAGGCGCCTATGATGGCATACCGGTCATATTTCGATGAAAATTGGTTTTGGTGAAAAAGTGATTAGACCTACATGACTATACTAACTTTACATTAGTTTTTGTAAAAATACGTCCCTTTTGCACAAATATTGTTTTTATAATAAAAAATAATCGATTCGATCGAATGTGCTGTTGTAGTTTTATTCCCTTCATATATTTAAGATTGTGATTTTATTTTTAACTGTGCAGAAAGGGAATTTTTATGCATTTTTATACCCAAGTTTTGTGCATTTAGTGGAATACTTACTTTAATTTTATCTTTTGAACAAGGCAGACACAGCTTGTTTTAATGAAAATGATGACTTCTTCCCATGATGGCGTACTGACGAGTTCGATGTGTTGCAATATTGACGAGTTGGGAAAACCTTTTTTTTTTTAAGTAAAGTAAAAAGAAAGCGATGCTCTAAAAGTTTTTTTTATGGTCCAAAAAATACATAAAACGCAATAAATCCAATGCGCATGCGCTAAACTTTATAATGCTGCTGTGTAGCATGAAATGGTAATTTAGGATGGCTCCGAGTAATTTCTGGCTTTTCTGAAGGAAGACTTTAAGGTTATACATATATATATATATATATATATATATATATATATATATATATATATATATATATATATATATATATATACATACATACATACATATATATATATATATATATATATATATATATATATATATATATATATATATATATATATATATATATATATATATATATATATATATACATACATATATATATATATATATATATATATATATATATATATATATATATATATATATATATACAATATATATATATATATATATATATATATATATATATATATATATATATATATATATATACAATATATATATATATATATATATATATATATATATATATATATATATATATATATATATATACATATATATATACAATAATCTAAATATAATTTTCATTATCTGAAAATTCATCAAACCACTTCGTTAAACTTTGTCTTTATTATATAATAGAGCTATCACTTTTACTATATACAGCTATTCCTTTTATCTGTAAAAACATGCTCCCCTCCTCCCTCAATTTTGAGTAAAAGTTACAATACCCCTCCCCTTCCCCCTCAATTTTGATTTGTATGAAACAGCTGCCTCTTGAATAAACAATAGTAGACGCCACTTATGACGTTTATAATTCTCAGCAATTATGTTTACTATCTAGTAAATTAATTTTTTTTTTTTCCGGAAATTTTAATCAAGTTTTCCCAAAACTGTATTTGTAATATTCCATTTTTATGTATTTTTAGATAAAGTATAATAAAGATTTATGTATTATTAGATAAAGTATAATCTAAATAATCTAAAAAAGAGTGCGAGTATAATCTAAAAGAGATTACGTGTATAATTCTTTGAAATTTTGTTTATTTTCCAAGAGTAAAGTATTAAAATCAAATTTTTTTTTTTTGAAAATATTTGGAAATTTTGAGCAAAAGTCCCCGGAAATTTTCCGGAAAATTTCCGGAAATTTTCATCACTACTAATAACTAACACCTGTTATCAAATCTGGTAATGAGATTAGTATTTCACAGACCTCACTTTTTAAAATATATTAAACGCATAATATATAACAAACATTAACATTTGGCTGAAAAAAATATGTTATACTGTAACTAATTTAGTTTTTGGTATAAATCAATGCCTAAAAAGCTCTAATTAAGAATGTGATTTTGGAGTCTTTTTCTTACCTTAATGTGGACTTTCAAACAATTGTATCTAAATCCTTACAAAATCTTGCTAAAAAAGACATTCCCTTTCATTGTTAAAAATATGACTTTCAAGTTATATAAAATGTTTATAAAACTACACCTTGAATTGTCTATTTGTACTCATTTTTTTGTGTGCGTGGTTATTATAGTGCTCCAAGAAGTCCTTATGGTCTTATCACAGAGCACAATGCATCAGCAAAATTCTGGAACGAACTTTCTGAGAAAGTAATTTTCTACTCCACTATACATTCTTTTAAAATTAGACTGGACTCTGTATGTATGCAATATATGCAAATTACCGGCTTCTAATAACAGATATAATAATAACAATAATAAATAAATAAAGTTATAATAAAAAATGTAACGTTACATCTCAATTTTTTATACTTTTAAAATATGTTTTTATAAGTGAAACCAATTGAGACGCAACCCAACGTAAAAAATGTTATTAGGATTAACTAAAAAAATTAAGCGTCACTTATTTGCAAACTGAAACTTTATTTACTTTTGATGACAAAGCAACCAATTGAGACGAAACTTTCGTAAATTAAAAATGATAAATCGCAATCAGACAATGATAAACAAACATTTATTGCGTTTTAAGGTTTATCTAGTAAGAAATAAAAAAGTGTAACCTTGTCACCAATTGTAACCAATTTGAGATGTAATCTAACTTAAAACTGTTATAGGGAAAGGAAATTTATAGGGATTTTTCCGAGAAAATTAAGTGAAATAGCTTGATGAATTAAAGTGGAGAGGTTACCAGAGATATACTCAGACAGATGAAGACCTCGGAAGAACAGGGAAGATAAAAATAAGAGGTCTATGGCGGAGAATTTCTGATCTCTAACAACATGAACATTGAAGCTCATGTGCAAAGTCATGTAATTAAATGTATATAACTAAATGAACTTGCATTTTTAATCAAGACGCTCACGTCAGCAAAGACGTCACTGATAATTGTCACTGATAAATGTCAATAGACGTCACTGATAATATTTACAAGAGTATTAGTTTAAAGATGACCTAGAATTTTCAAAATTTATTTATATAACAATTTTTTTATGTTTGATGACAAAATGATCGATGTATATTTTGGCACACGATCTACATATTCTTGTAACAAAAGTTAAACTATTAGATTTTAATAACCTGAAAAACATAAAAGAGAAACAAATAAATTAAAAAGCTTTTAAAATAGGATTGTCTACATAACGTCTTTGGATCAGGGCTTCTAGGTACTTTGCACTTGAGTTACAAACTAAAAAATAAATCAGATGAAGCTAGATTATCTGATTTGTTTAAACCAAAAAAGGTCTATTCAACAAGATTTAAGAAAAATATTAGGTTAATTAGTGGATATTTTTAAGTTTAGATAATTATGAGAATCCTGCTCGGAAAGCCTTTCAAAGTTCTAAATCATTTTCAAAATTACTGGTTTATTAGTTAACTAGTTAGCGTGGCAAAATTAAGATCTGTGCTCATTGATCTTAAATATGATCTTATCTCTTTCTGTAATCAGACTTCAGAGTATTTGATTATAGATGGTATATAATACTCCCTTCCTTACATAAGATGCTAGAACATGGCAGTTACTTATAAGACCCACCAAAAATTGATTTAATGGATTTGCAGTAGACCTATATAGACATTTATTAGCGCTTTAGGCAGCCACTATAAATGGCCTAGCAATAACTTTCCGACATATTAATAGTGGCTAGTAATCGGCTAGCCACTTTTAGCGGTTGTCGCTAATGGTCCACTAGGTAACCGATGAGCAAAACTACAGTGGACCGCAGGAAATGTCTATATGACTTATATGACCACTGAAAATCCGCTATCGCATGTCTGCTCGAGTGCTTTCTTTGAGGAAGCCTAAGAAACTCAAAATAAAAAGATTCTGTATCTTTTAATATATTATATAATTAATAATGTAAATTTTAATATATAAAGTAATAAAATATTTAAAAGATTCCTTTTATTTTTAGTTTCTTAGGCTTCCTATTTTTATTTTTTTTTATCTTTTTATTTTTATTTTCTTAGGGCAAGACTTCATCATTTTATTAGATGAAATTTGAAATCTGTCCAAGAATATAAATTTATTTTTTGGAATAGTATTTGTATAAAACTCAGTTACTTCACATTTTGGACAGGGAGAACAGCTTTTGACATTTTTCTTGTTCTTAGGCTCCAAATACTCCTATTTATTTGCAAAATATTTTCATTTAATGTAAGCATAGACATACCCAGTTCAAAGTTTATTCCGCTTTTTAAGTTTGTTCTCAAAATATGAACAGACTGCTACAATTCCTAAAGTTGACAATATCCACCAGCTAGCTAGTAGCATGTTGTATTTTTGATCGGAGTGGTCCAATCTTATTTTTAACTTCAAAAATGAGTTCTCTGACCCGATAAACCCATGTAAAGTACTCTAAAATATGTTAGTTTTTAATGGAATATTACATTTTGTCGACAAAATGTGACATGTCACTTTTTTGACTTTTTTGACGAAGTTGAAAGGTGCATTTAGCGAAACATTTAAATTCTTCGCACTGTGAGTTAGAGACAAAAAATTTAAAAGTGCCGCAAAAATGCGTTTTTAAACTTATAATCAAACCGCGTCCGTCTGTTGACTTTGTTTATTTTTTTTAAGTCAAAATTTAATTGTGTTTGTTATGGCTTCATCAGAAGAAGATATTGACCGCAAATACAGATCTAAAAAAGGGTCATTTTCTTATACAACTTCTTGTGACGAATTCGATGATGAAGATCCCGGAGAACAAAGAGTTGAAGATGTTACGATACAGTTTTTTTACAAACCTAGAACTATTACTATGCTTGCAGCTCTTATCTTGCTTATGATTTATTTTGCGTTTGAAAGGTAGTTATAATAAAAAATTATAGTTATTAATTTCTTCATACTTCATAAGTGACATGATGAAAAATAAAATATGCTACAAACTAAGTCTTGGATTTATTTTATCAAACTCATTTTCTTAATGTTTGTAAGGTAATGTAAAGTCTAAGAACTATAGCAAAATGCAACAGCTTTTATCCAAAAAAACGTTTTAAATCTTCCAAGCAACAGTTGTTGTTCATTTGGGTTCTTTTAAAATGATCTAAGTATATATATATATATATATATATATATATATATATATATATATATATATATATATATATATATATATATATATATATATATATATATATATATATATATATATATATATATATATATATATATATATATATATATATATATATATATATATATATATATATATATATATATATATATATATATATATATATATATATATATATATCAATGAACACAGTAGCAGTTATAAACCTTTCTCAAACTGGTTTAAGGGATAAGGTAAGCTGTCTTTCAATCTTTCCAGAACGTTTTTTGTCAGTTTATTGGCATTTGCAAAAACATTTATAGATATTATCAAAAAATATTTATGCAGCCAATCTTGAATCTGATATCATTTCTGTAACAGATTGGAGTTTGCAGTGGCTTGTGAGTTTTAACTCTAACAAAACTCAGTTATTTACTGCAAACAATTATCGCAATACTGTTGACAATACAATACTGTTGACATTACTATATTGATAAATGGCAACTCTCTCACTTCTTTACGTCTTCTTGGATTATCGTTCACTACTGATCTCTCATGGAAATCATATAATCGATTTCATAGTTAGCATCTGCTCAGATTGCTTCTCTTTATCATGCTCTCCATTTTTTTTCTCATGATTTCATTCTTTACCTCTACAAATTTCTTATTCACCTGTTGTAGACGTAGTTGTACCAGGTATATCTGTAAAACTTGAGCTTCTTCCCCATTGTCGTAAGGTTGCACCTCTTTCTTTTTTTTTTACAAATACTATCATGGTTGCTGCTCAAAGGAGCTATCATCTTTAGTTCCAGATTCAGCCAAGTCTCATTCCTTTACTGCATCTCTCCCTGCATGTTCTAAAAACTTTAATTTGTCTAGTTTTTTTTCCTTGCACTTTATCCCTTTGGAACTCTCTCCAATTTTCTTTTTTTCATGACTCATACAACCTACAACTTTTCAAGTATTCTATCAACCGTTTCCTTGCTTTTTAACTCCATTTTTTGTTTTCTAGTAACTTCTAACTTACTAGTGGTTGCTTGCAGCCTTGAATCATAATAATAATTAAAAAAACAGCAGTAGTAGTTGTCCTGCTAAAGAAAATTTAAATCTATTCATTGCAGTAGCTGTTGTCTTTCTTTTTTTCTTGTTTTTCTTGTTGTAGATAATTAAAAAATAAGCTTTCTGATCTGCAAATGTTCTGAGTTAGATTTCAAACTGGATGAAGCCATTTTATAGTTTACTTCATATTTATTAACTTGAAGAGTTCAATTGAATTCAGTTCATAAGGTCATTGAACTGAAATTAAAATCCAATTGCAAACAAAAAGAACAAAATAGCATCGTATTTGGATTGTTTATGAAAAATAGTCTTTACATCTTCTGGATATTTAGGACCATACTATAAAATTATGAAATGATGCAGTTTTATCAAATGATGATCAACTTTTTTTTTTTTTGCTGAGAAAATAATGGAAATTGAGTGAACTCAAAGCTGATTTTGAACAAAAATTGTTTGAATAGTAGAATTTTTTTATGTTAGCACCAAAAAGCACTAGAATTTTTAATGAATGTAAATGTTATTTATTGTCTTTGTACATAAATTGTACTTGGAGTTGAATTTGAAAGAAAAAAATATATGTAAATTACCTTTTTAAATAAAAAGATATTTAGCTAGGTACAAACTGTTTTATATATTTTTTGCTACTGTCTTGTAGAAGGCCTCCCAGGCAAAGACTTATTTAAGTCTTTATTTAGGATGCCTTCTACAAGACAGTAGCAAGAATCAGGCAACTACAAAACTCATTGCTTAGGGTGTTATACACTATCTATGTTTCAACAAGTTCTTTGATAAGAGTTTAATAAAAGTTCTTTAAAATTAAATTAATAAAAACATGAATTAAATATTATTTAAAAAAAACTATCATTACCATAAATTAATTCCTTTATAAATATTTGTGGTCTTTAAAGTAACTTTTTATCTGTTAAATTTTATGCCAAATTCACCAGACCTACTTGTTCTTTGTGAGGCTAATTTTAATCAACTGTTTCATCTTAGTGTTGCAATTATCCTTTTGTTCACAAAGACTTTAATAGTTGCATGGTTGGCCAGGGCATATGCTAAAATATTAATTCCTTTATTTGTTGCAAAATCAAGAATATACTGACTATTCTTTTATTTGGGTTTGAATCCATTGACCTCATCGCTTAAACATCTTTTATTTTTGTTCTTTTTCTTTCTTCTTCCTCCCTAGACACTTTTTTTGTGTATTTAGAACACTTTTATTGAATGAGTGAGCTTTAGTGAGATCATAGCATTATCAACTGCTTGATGAAGAACAATAAGAAACTGAGTACAAGTTAGTTTTAAAGACACAAATCATAGAATAACGGTAAATGAATTGGTCTGGAAACTATCTATATAAGAAATCTAAATAATAGACCTATTACTTATTACTTTCTAAACTAAAAGCAAGTGTGTAACTCAATCTTGTTTTCCCACCTGCTGGAAAACTGCATTGCTCAGACCTCTATTACAATCCGATCTATTTCTACTCACTATTGTTATCAAGTCTTTAATTAACAAACTTCTAATATCTCATCTTAAATCCTTTCTCTCTAAAAATCTATACAGTTTTTTGATCTTCTTCTACTGCTGAGTTGTTACTACTGTTATAAATGTTTTATTATATTATTAGATAAATTAATGATGCAAAGGTCACTGCTCTTGATATGCCAAAGACCTTTTATAAAGTCTGGCATGCTGCTTGGTGTAGTTAAGGCGATTCGCAAATTATTCGAATTCTTTTATTTGAAATTAGCATGATTTTATCAGCGTATTATTTCCAAACAAGAGCTTTAGATGTTATGACTTTTTTTGCTTTTGTTTTTTTTTATATTTAAAAAAACTTTCCTTTTTTTTATATAATTTTCAAAACCTTTTTACTACCTGTAATAGTGAATCTAAAGAACACCATTTTGGAGTCATTAGATCAATTCCGCTCATCAGCATTAACATAAATTTACGTAAAATCTTTTGAAAAAGTGCCTAAATTTACTATAGATTCTAGTTCTTTTCAGTTCTGATGTATATTAACTATATATAGTTTTCAAAACACAATATTTCTATCAATTTTCACAAAAAATACTAGAATTCTGACCAAGAAAGAGCTTATAGTTAAGAGAAATTCCCAATAAACAATCAGAACAGACCATTTCATTAAACTATGATGTTCATTTTACCTAAACTACATATTTATTTAAAATATTATTCAAATATGGACAAGCGATTGTGATTTTAAGAAGATTTAAAAAAAATAAATAATAATTCGATCTGGGTTTTTTCACTTTAAACATTTATATTTTATGCAAAATTTATCATTTTAATTTTTTTCGTTTAATGGAAATATGTCGTAGTCAACAAAGTATCATACAGATGCTATAATATTTTAAAATTACCTTAACTACACCGAGTGGTTCTTTTAATGAGAATTTAATTTAGAATATTCTTTTAGAATAAGTCCAAAAATACATTGCAGATATTGTTGGACCTTCTCTAGCTGCTTAGCTTGAGCCTCTGTCCTATTGTTGCATTGTTTTCTCTTTTCTATAGATATAACCTGTTTTATAAATTAAAATGCAATATTGCTTGCAGGAATTCAGAGTCAGGTCCCAGACTCTATTTTTTTATATCATCATTATCATCAACATTCTTATCCACAGGCTATCAACTTTGAACAGACCTGTTTAAAAGTTTAACCTTTGGATAAACTTTTAAACAGGTCTTAAAAGACCTGTTTAAAAGACTTTGGATAAACTTTTAAACAGGTCTAAAAGACAAGTCGTGACACGCAAAATGTCATCCGCTTGTTAAGATAAAAACAAAGTTTTTATCTTAACAAGCAGATGACATTTTGAAAAATTTTCCAAGAAAATTGGAACAACAGTTGCCATTTTCCAGCAAGCAGGAAAACAAGGCTCAGTCAAACACTTGTCAAATAGTTTAGAGAGAATTGAAGAAAGTTTTGGAGAACAATTTTGTTAGACTCTGACAGGAATGTTGTCTGGACCACAAGCTGTAGAAGAGTTTAGTCGAGATGGAATGGAAGCTGGAGTGATTTGAATATCTAACAATGGTTTAACCTGTTTAATTGGAATGGAAGTAAGAAAATGGCCATAAGATTTGAGAGTCAAATTAGAAAAAAAGTTATTTGCAAATAGTTCTGCTTTATCCTTGGGTGAGGTAGTAATATCAGTCCCATGAATGAGAGATGGAATGTTAGAAACATGTATTGTTATTTTATTTGTTAAAAAAAAAAGGTTTTTATTATTAAGTGGAAAAAATTTGTCTTATTTTCCAATTGTTATATATATATATATATATATATATATATATATATATATATATATATATATATATATATATATATATATATATATATATATATATATATATATATATTTGTTATATATATATATATATATATATATATATATATATATAACAATTGAAAAATAAGACAAATTTTTTCCACCTAATAATAAATATATATATATATATATATATATATATATATATATATATATATATATATATATATATATATATATATATATATATATATATATATATATATATATATATATATATATATATATATATCATGTTGGGTCTCAAAAGAAGTGAAGTTTCATAAAAATTTCAAAAATAATAATCATTTTATATAGAGAATACTGGTTTAATTTTTATGGTTTAAAAACTATTATATTTTAATAAAAAAATTAAAAGTACATATTTTCAAAGTTTTTTTTTTAATAAAGTTTTTTTAATATATAATATATATATATATATATATATATATATATATATATATATATATATATATATATATATATATATATATATATATATATATATATACATATCTACTATAGCATATTTATATGCGCAATTGGTCACTTTTTTTGCTAGCCTAAATTAAGTGAACATTTTTAGAAAACGATGAGTGAAAACAAAGAATAATGAATGAAAATGTTGCTGACCCATACCAAACCCTCAGTCGATGTAGCAGCACTCCACGGCGAGTCAGGCTATTTGTCAGTTGATGTATGTACTGAAGCCCCCGGCAGCAGGCTATTTGACATTAGGTGAGTATGACATCATCATGCTCACCTAACTCAGCAGTATAAGATATGTGTATATATATATATATATATATATATATATATATATATATATATATATATATATACATATATATATATATATATATATATATATATATACACATATGTATGTGTATATATATGTATATTAGGGTGATTCAAAAAACAACTTTTTTAAAAATAGTCTTCTGCTCTTAACTAAATGTGTTCTATATAATAGAAAAACACTAGGTTTAAAATTTTTTTGAATAAAAAATATTTTTAGGGGTGCCTCAAGACCCTTAAATATTTGACAGGTCCCTGATGTTTTGAAAAAAAAAGTTTTTTTAAAGTATGTTAACCTGGTACTCAAAAGAAGCGAAATTATATAAAAACTTCAAAAATAAAGATCAATTTACATAAAAATATATTTTTTTAGATATAATTGCCTAAAAACTATTGTTTTTAAGGTGATAATAAAAAAAGTCAATACTTTCAAGTTTCTTTAAAATAATTTAGAAAAACATGTTTTTTATGTAAATTTATTATTTTATATAAGATTTGAAATTTTTTAAATCAAATATTTTTATTTAGAAATGCCGACATAAATCAGCACGATAATTTTTGGCATGGAACACTTGGTGTTGTGGGTAGTTTTCTGGTTATTTCATTGCTTATATGTCCTAATGGTAAGAATGGTTTTGATTGCTTGTAGCTTCAAATCAAGCTAGACTTATATACTTATATATAAACACCAAAATAAAAATATAAACCTAATTTAAGAGTTATATACTTATATATAAACACCAAAATAAAAATATAAACTAAAATAAAAATATAAAAATATAGACTTATATATAAACACCAAAATAAAAATCAATAAATGGAATAATTTTCAACTTATATAACCTTATACAACTCAAAAATTTCTGTTCGATACAAATATGTTCTGCAGGCTTTAATTTCTGAAGTTTCTTTTTAAATTTGAAAATGTTCAGAAAAAAAAAGTTATAAATAATTTATAGAAATTTTTTAGAGCAATATTTTATTTATGTTAAAAATTTTTTTTCTGTCTGTCCAAAAATCTAATGATTATAAAATTTTTATAAAATATACAAAGTTAATTTGTTTTTTAACTTTATTATAAAAATCCTTTTATTTTGTAAAAGTTTAAGTTTTTAATAAGTTTTTTTTTTACTTAAAGTTTCTATCCTGTGACCAAAATTACTCATTGCAAAAAATATATATATTTTTTCAAAATTAAAGAAATAAAAATTTAACTTTTAAAATCACCCACGTGCACTATGTATCTGCGCAGCATCATTTTTAGCCCCACTCAACTTTATCTTCAGATAATCTTTACCTGACCAATCGAAGAAATTGAACATCACTCCTATCTTTAAAATAGGATGTTTGACTTCATTATCTGCATGAACGTTTTGAGTGGAGTTTTTTTAAAGATCTGTTCAATACTTTTCATCTTATTTATAAACAATCTTTCTGATAGATAATGCTATGTGCTGATGACAGCAAAATATCAGCATCATAAAGTCTGCATCAAACATCACAAAACTTCAGGCAGACATTGACAGCGCTGTTAAATGGTTAAACCCAGTGTTTGACCTTTTGCTAATGTAATTCAGTGTAATGTAATTCAATGCTAATATACTTTAATGTTGATAAATTCAATGTAATGCATGTAGTTGTATAAAGAAATCTTTAACACATTAGTATTCCATGGATACTTTTTTTCCAGCCAACAGTAGTGTCTTTGAAATTGGATGCAGCTGAATACATTGTTTAATTGGCAGCTTAGTAGCTGTTAGTAATGTAAAGTAGCAACATCTTGTTAATGGCGGGGACTTCAACTGTATATAACATGTTTGTTTAAAATAGCCTATTAAATATTTAGTTTAAAAAATTAAGCAACCATTCTTCTGAATTTTAATGTAATAAATTATTGTAAAATTTACAGCAAACTATTTACAGTTAATTATAAATATTTAAACAATTTGTTTGTTTGTTTCTGGACAATTCTTCAAATTATGTTTAAAAGTTATAAAGATATTGTGTTAAAAAAAAAATTAGTTAAAAACAGAAATTTTTTTTTTTCTTCTTAAATTAATACTTAACTTTCTTCAATTTATGTTAAACATGTCTTTACAATGCAATTTTATGTTGAGTTTATGTTAAACATGTCTTTACACAACAGTTTTATGTTCAGTTTATGTTAAACATGTCTTTACACAACAATTTTATATACAGTTTATGTTAAACATGTCTTTACACAACAGTTTTATGTTCAAATTATGATAAACATTTCTTTACACAACAGTTTTATGTTCAAATTATGTTAAACATTTCTTTACACAACAGTTTTATGTTCAAATTATGTTAAACATTTCTTTACACAACAGTTTTATGTTCAAATTATGTTCAACATTTCTTTACACAACAGTTTTATGTTCAAATTATGTTAAACATTTCTTTACACAACAGTTTTATGTTCAAATTATGTTCAACATTTCTTTACACAACAGTTTTATGTTCAAATTATGTTCAACATTTCTTTACACAACAGTTTTATGTTCAAATTATGTTCAACATTTCTTTACACAACAGTTTTATGTTCAAATTATGTTCAACATTTCTTTACACAACAGTTTTATGTTCAAATTATGTTAAATATGTTACTGAATTTTAAAGTATTAAAATATTTTAGTACTTTTCTACCTGAACGATAACTAAAAATTTTTAAATTATCATTCTTTAATCGATTTATATTTTTAAGGACCGTTTGTTAGACCACATCCTGCAGTTTGGAGACTAGTGTTAGGTATAAAATTTCTTTTAGTTTTTTTAAAGTATTATTTGAAAATTTAATTATTATTGCTATTGATATTTATGTTGTTATGTTGTTGATTATAGGTATAAGCATAGTGTATACTTTGGCTTTGGTTTTTGCCATGTTTCAACGTTACAATGATATTATAACGATTCTGCGTTACTTTGACCCTGAACTTACAGATGCTAAACCAGATACTAAGGTTGTTTTTTTCAATTTTCTTTTTTTGTTTGTCATTTAATGTTTTGTTTGGTTTTATTATTTGGTTTTGTTATTTTTTAAGTTTAATTCTTAAGTTTTTCATTTATTGGATTTTCACAATTCTATTCTAAGTGGAATCTCATATTTTTATTCTAAGTGAATTATTTGTATTTCTAAGTGCAACATTTAGTTACAACCTTATATTAATATTTATTTTACTGTTAACCCTAACCAACCTGCATTTTCATTTTTAAATATAGAATTTTTTATTAAATAAATTTGAAATAAGTATTAAATTTAATGAAGATTAGAGAAAAAAAAATTTTAAACTTTATATTTTAGGGTAAATCTAGAATGTTCCCAATACGGAACATTTGGTTGTTCCAGTTGCACAAGGCGTATTTTAATTTGTTTCGTATACGGAACATCTGGCATTAAAGATACTATTTTTATTTTTATTTAACACATGTAACATTTTATTTTTCAAAATAATTAAGTGTCATTATTGTAAAATGAAGTAATTTTTAAGTTATAATATATTTTTAATCAAAATATTCTGAAACTTAAATTCTATTCATTGTGATGGTATTGGTGATGGTATTGATAAAAGCAATTAAAAGTTGGTTTTAAACATAGAACAACTTTGCATTTTGAACATTGTACCAAGAATTTCAAATCACAATCTTTGTTTGCGCATCAATGTCTTCCTTTAATAAAATCGGGCCAATGATCAACTCTATCGTACCTTATATCGTCATTTACCTTCGCTTTGGAGTTGGACGAAAATTTTCTTTAACTCTTACTTGCAACATTTTATTTTTAATGCTACTCTTACTTGCAACATTTTATTTTTAATGCTACTCTTACTTGCAACATTTTATTTTTAATGCTACTCTTACTTGCAACATTTTATTAGTCAATGTTAAACTATCAGATATATTTAGAATAAAGTCTCTTAGCAAAATATTCTTATCTTTACCATCTTTTTTAACAATTTTGTATATCAACCAAGCATTTGTTATACACACGTAGTGTAAATAGTATACTATGTATAAATAGTATACTATGTGATCATAATACTTTGTACTTTTGCAATCAATACGATATAATGAATGGTACATATCACGTAAGTCAACACCACCCATGTACTTGTTGTACTCTTTAATAATTGCAGGGCATTCAATTTGAACTCTTTTTTTAGCTTTACCATCCCAACGACTGATTGTTGACACTGGATCACTACCAACATAAGATGACAACAAATTGACCGATTTATTATCATTCCAACGAGTCAAGCAAATACCATCGTCTTTATTGACATACGATTCAATAGTATCTCTTGGCTTTTTTTCAAAATTTGGAGTTTTATTTGAATTCTATTCAGTCTATTAGTAGATACGGATTGGTAACCCATCTTTTTCAAATCAATGGTCAGCGTAGGAGATGCAAACCAGTTGTCAAAAAATGTATTGAAATTTTTTGATTTAGGTATATTTCTAACCAATCCCATCACAGCAGATGTACCAGTTGGTTCTAATTTTCCAAAGTTGTTGAAGCAGTATTATTAAAGTTTGCTCCAAGCGTTCTTTTTGTTGGTGGTGTAGAGATTCGATTTCCAGCTTTGTACCATATTGGTCTTTTTAATGGTTCACTGGAAGCTGATGCTGAAGTTTGAGGAAGTATGTTATCTGAGGTTTTTGTTTTTTGAGAGGGATTATTATAAAACCGAGATACTGTTATAGATGAACGAAATTATTTTTTAATGAGCTTAGATTGATCAGTAACTTGTTCAATATTTGATGAAACCATAGTGTTTTGTGTTGGTGCAATCATTGGTGCAATATTTATTTTTTCTGCGCCAGTATATAGAAAAAAATCAAAAATGATCAGATGTAGCACCGCACCGAGTTATGAATTTGAATCCCCATTGTATTGCTGCATAGAGGTTTTTTTTACCTTTATAAGGAACAATCTGCTCATCAATACTATTATACTCTTCTGGATCAATAGCGTTGCAATTTAGTAAAACATGATCATACAGTTTACGAAATTTAAACAATTTATCATAATTTTGATGATCTTTACCAATAAGATCACTATTACTTGCTATATGGAAATTATTTTTGATATCTTCAAGTCAATTCCGTTGCAATGTAACAGCTATTTTTAAATATCTTGTATCCTGTGCCCAATACATACTAAAAGATGGCATTTGAATAACTCCCATATGGAACAGGATACCAATATATTGCTTAATTTTACTTGGTGTCACATTGATTGATTTGCCTGTTTTCTCTACAGAATAAATGTTAGTTGCGTTAGCTAAATGTTCAATCATATCTTTTTTTTAAAAATTAAAAAAAAAATCAGTTGGTAAAGATCAGTTTGGAGCTTTTCATAATCTGGTATTTTACCAAGAAAATCTTTTGAGCCAGTGTTTATAAATTTTCCATTTGACCGCTTAGCAAATTGTTTTTTTTTCCTGCAAGAGCTTTATATTTTGCGGAAATTTTTTTAGGTTGTTTTATCTTCTTTTTTTTTGGAGTTTAGACTGTTCATATACCCATTGTTCTGATGAACCATTGTCAAGTGTTTCGCTGTTGGGTGCTTCACCATCACCTAAATAAAGTTTTTTATTCAATTTAGATTGCATATCATAAATATTATAATCATCATCTGAATTCTCATTGTCCATATCAGAATCATCCGCAAATGGTAAATCACATATTATTGCATCTCTCTTTTTATTTTCTCTAAGATTTTTAATATTATTCATCTGAAATGAAAAATTATATGGAATTATGATATATAAATTTTTTTTCTAAAAAGAATTTACCCTCCCATCCCCCCCCCAATATGCTGTATAAAAAACGCAGTATAAAATGCACAGTATAATTGTAAATAATTTTAAAATTATTTTTAAAAAGACAACAATTCTGGAATTGTTCAACTCAAGTTTCTTCTTATATAAAAACCTTGTGTCATTTTAAATTATTCAAGTCACAACAAATTTACAATTCTAAAATCAAGATAATCCAGTCAAACCAGTAATACAAAAGACTGGATCTTAAATTATGACAACATATTTATCCAATCAGTAACAAAAAAAACGTAATAAATTATAATAAGAAGCCGTAATTAAATAATTTACTTTTAACAAAGACCGGAACAACCAAATGTTCCATATACGGGACACACATAAATTGCTCTAGAAATATTGGAAAAAATTCCAAAATCAATTGCAAATTTCATAAGTTTAAAAAAAGATAAAAATTTATAATTATATATATATATTTGTTTGCAATAATGTCGTCTTTCTATAACTTTTTACGGAATAAAAAAATAATAATTACAAAAAAAGTTGTAGCATCTCGAAGATTTATTTCGTAAACGGAACCATAGGTTGGTTAAGGTTAAAATATTATTAAAAAAATTATCATCCATATATTATTATAACAAATTTCAATAAAATTTCCTGTAACAAAACTAAATAATTTTTTTCAGACCTATGCAGATGATTGTTCTTTAAGTGTTCTTTGGTCTCGCATTGATATATTTGTTGTTGCTCATTTTCTTGGTTGGATGATGAAAGCATTAATGTTAAGGCATGCAGGTCTTTTATGGCTTCTAAGCATTATGTGGGAAGTAACAGAGGTACTGTTTCTATTTAATTGTGTTTTTCTATATTATTTTATTAACACCATTATTTTTGACTACCAGTTCATTTTAATGTGTACATGTATGAAAACATGTTTGTATCAGGTAACCAGTGTCAGTGTAAATGACAGTATTTATACAATTGTCACAATGTGTGTGTATATATATATATATATATATATATATATATATATATATATATATATATATATATATATATATATATATATATATATATATATATATATATATATATGTATATATATATATATATATATATATATATATATGTATATATATATATATATATATATATATATATATATATATATATATATATATATATATATATATATAAAAATATATATATTTATATATATATATATATACTCACACTCCCCTAAAACGGTTTATGGGAGCAATTTACAGCTCCTGCAAAAGATTTTTTTTTTCTTAAAAGTATATTTATAATTTTAACTACAATGAAAAATGCAAAAAAAAAGTCAATAAAATTTAATTAATTGGACAATAAACAGGCACAAACAGGCTTTTGCAAAAAAAAAATGTCTAAAGAATTTTTTCACGGCGCAATCAATGAAGCTTATTATGTGTAAATTATTGTAACATTAACGTTACAAACATGATTGTAAAAAGTATAAAACCATATTTTGTATTTAATAAGCTATTTTGGGACAACTGAATAAGCGAAAGTTTCATAAGTGCGGCTAGCATAAGTGCGAATGGCGTAAGTGCAAATTGATATAATTCCGAATTGGCATAAGTACGAACTGGCATAAATACCAAACAGCTACAAAAACTGGCACAAGTGCGAACTGGCATATGTGCGAATTGGCATAAGTGCGCCAAAAGATTTTGCAAACATTGGCATAAGTGTGAATTAGCATAAGTGCGAAGCAGTTTCAAAAACTGGCACATGTGCGAACTGGCATTATGCGGATTGGCATGAGTGCAGATAGCTTGTGCAAAAACCAAAAGCTCTCGTAAAAAGTAGTTTAGAGGAGCAGCTCGCATGGCTCGCCATGTTCGTTTTAGGAGAGCTTTTCTCTGCTCTTGTGCTCATTTATTCCCACCGAGACCTATATATATATATATATATATATATATATATATATATATATATATATATATATATATATATATATATATATATATATATATATATATATATATATATATATATATATATATATATATCAGGTCTTGTGATGAATAAAAACTGCGCGACGCATAAGCACGACGTGATTTTTGACGTCATTAAATTCTTTTTATTTGCTTTTCATATTTATTGACATTAACTGCACCAATTTACTTAATTACCGCAAAACTACTTTAAATCATTAATGTAGAAATGTTATTATTTTAAAATGTTTTGGAATGTTTCGTTTTTTAAAATGTAAAAACATTTGTTTATTTTCTCGACGTTTGACACGTTTTGTCTATACTAAACGAATAAAAAACATTATAACTAAACATTTAAAAAAGATAAAATATGCTAATATTTGATTTTTTTTCTTCTCAAATATGTAATTTAAAGTTTTTCAAATAATTAATTTTTCTTTTTAAAAAGTCAGCGAGTAATAAACTGGAAATTTTAATATTGTAAGATTAAAAACTGTGCAATAGCTAATATTTTTACCAGCGGTTTTGTATAATATTTTTTTATTTATTTATTTTTATTTATTTTCATAAAGCAGTTGATAAGCACAATCACTCGTATTACTAAAAAACTTTAACGAACGTTTTGAATAGATTTTTAATGTTTACAAAGAGTTTTATTTCTAGTAAAATAAAATAAAATAAAATGCTAGAATAAAAATCTTATAGTAGGTACGTGCGTATCCAATGAGTTACGGCACCGATTACGTAATCAAAATCTTTGACTATTTTATCAAAGCGTGCTTAGCGTTTGAGTTGTAAGAATGTATTTTGTTGTGTTATTTTTTAGGATTTTATATCAGCATACAGGGCCGGCGCGAGTAGGGGTCACATGGGGGGTGCCATTACAACTTTTGCCGTCTTTAAAAAAAAAAAGTCCTCGTTTTTTAAAATTTACCGACTGCCATATCGACATTTGCCGACTGACTTTACCGACCTATCGACAGGGTCTACATTTGCCGACTAACTAGTCAAAAAGGGTCACATTTGCCGACTAAGGGTCAAATTTGCCGACTAAAAGTCATTGATGGGGGGTGTAACACCCCCCTATCGCGCCGGCCTTGTCAGCATAGACTTTTTTTGAAAAGTGGAAGACTTCTTTTTTGGATAGTTTTTTTTTGAAGTTACAACCGCTTTTATTGAATTTACTTTTCTTAAAAACTTCGTTGTTGATCACACGTCAAATTAATATTGAAAGAATGTTGAGAACATTTTTGAAACTATTGAGAAAAATTTAAAAACTTATTTTCTACGTACATGCCAAGTTTTATCGAAAAAGGTTATGTAGCAGACACCTAATTTTTTGTAGCAGAATATGTACCTAAGTTAAAATATTGTAAATAAAGCAAAATATTGCGCTTTTATCAACAAAGTTCCATAACAAAACTACCGTTAGCCAAAACTGATAATTTAAAACGTCGCAGTTTTTTTAAGCAATCTTTGTAATCAAATTTTGTTACTTAAATGAGCATAACTTTTTGTAGAATTGTTGTTCTGTTATGAAATTTTCATTATTCTAATGCTGATTTTAGCCTATTTTTAATGATATATAATAATCAATAATAAAAATAGTTTAAAATTTTTACACACTTTTACTTATAGGTATAAAAAACATATTTCAGCGAAAAAATTTGCATATTGAACAATATTTAATGAAAGGTGCGCTAAAATAAAAAAAAGAAAACATTACGTGGTTAAATATGAGAATTAATTTTATTTTATAAATAAATGGCTTATGATTACAGGTTGCAAATTAATTTTTATTTTATTTTTTACATTTATTGAGCCCTTTTCAGGGTGTTTTTGGAAATTCGCTTTACATCTGTAGAAACTGGGTAACAAAACCAGGTTATATAAACTTATCAAACTATTGACGTTCTATTTTTCTGCAGCTGTTCTTAAGCACGCTTCGTTGAGTTTCGGTAACTTTTAACGAAAAAGCGATTATTATTAGTTAATTTTTTTTGAGTTACTTTTTACAAAAATTTTAATAACTGTACTTTTTTATTGAATCAAGTAGAATACGTTTTAATATTAATCCTTTTATTTATTTTTTTATTTGCGCTTGCCAATTTTTAAAATATTTCCTCGAAATAACTCTTAAATGCTTTAAATACGTCTAACAGTTAATAAATATTTTTAAACCTATGGAATAATTTTAAAACCTAACAAACCCCCGTAAAATAATTATTTAAGTTAAAAATCTAAAACTAAAAGAAAGTATTTTTGTTCAATTTTATCGACAACTTTGCTATTGCTGAATAATTTTATTAAAATGTTAGCTTAAAAAGATTTAAACTTTTTATCTGAATTTTTTCTACTTGTAAATAATGAGCATATTTAATTTTTTTGTAATTCAAACTTTTATATCAAGTGCGTGCGGTTTTTAAATGTTAAAATAATCTTAAATTACTTCATTAAAATTCCGCTCAAAAATATCTTTAAATATACTCAAACAAAAAATTTTTTGCTCGACGCCAATAGCCCTAGCTACATGCAAAATTGCTCTTGGACGACGCTTTATCGCAATATATATATATATATATATATTGCGATAAAGCTTTATCGCATATATATATATATATATTGCGATAACACGCTTTATCGCATATATATATATATATATATATATATATATATATATATATATATATATATATATATATATATATATATATATATATATATATATATATATATATATATATATATATATATATATAGGCCTGGGTAGGAATAATTGAGCGTTTTAGACTGATATATATATATATATATATATATATATATATATATATATATATATATATATATATATATATAAATATATATATACAAGTAGTATTGCGTACTAAGGTAAGCAATCTGACGTCATACTGAAATAGCCTGCTGCTAAGGGGCTTTAGTACATACATCAACTGACAAATAGCCTGACTCGCAGTGGAGTGCTGCTACATCGACTGAGGGTTTGGGATGGGGAAGCAATCGTTTCATTCATCATTCTTCGTTTTTTCTTCTTCTTTTTCAAAAAAAATGTTATAGCTTAAGGTAAGCGCAGAAAAAGTGAGCAAATGCTTATCAAAACACGCTTTAGTAAGTGTGTGTATATATATATATATATATATATATATATATATATATATATATATATATATATATATATATATATATATATCAGTCTAAAATTTAATGCCAGCGCACAAAAAAGCACTGGTCAGATGGGCTGGCGTGTGAGGTTTTAAAAGTTCATATTTATTTGCTATTTAAATAAAAACAGCAAAAAGATTACTTTGAATAAATTCTGAACTCTTTTAAACATTGAAATAATTAAAAAAAGAAAGGTAGAGCGAACATTTTTTTTAAATTTTAAATAAAATAATAATCAAAAAAAAAAAAAAAACAGCACAAAAAAAAAAAACATTTTATGTAATTATTAAACAAAATAGTTACAATAAAAGCAGAAATACTTTATTTGATTTCTAAATAAAGAAGTTAAAATAAAAACATCAAAACAAATGTTTATTTAAGTTCTAAAGAATAAAATAAAAAGGCAAAAAAAAAAAACAAAAGAACAATTTGTTTAAATTTTAAGTAAAATAATTCATACATAAAAGTGTTTTCACAATTTTTCATAAAAGTATTTGATGATCAAAAAAGATTTGTTACAAATATATATATGGCTGTATTAAATATTGTTCCTTTTATTTCAAGAAACATTTTTTGTTATGAAAGTATTTATGTAGTACATCACAAAGTATTACCGAATTTCATTTTTGATGTGAGTATGAAATCTAAAGCAAAATTACAAAATTTCCATTACATCT